TAACTAAATTTAGTTTCTCAATGTATATATGGATCTGTCTTCTGTCTCCAAGATGTGGGTGGTCCTACTGAAGAAGAATTGCTTAAACTTCTGGATCAGTGTGATCTGAGCACATCTCGCTGTGCAACCCCCAATATCAGTCCAGCTACTTCAGTAGTCCAGCAAAGCCGACTGCGTGAATCAAGCTCTAGGTAAGCTTTACAAATTAAGTTTGCATATATGTGGATGGCAAGATTTAAGCTAGATCTTTCCTTGTATAAGACTTCATTTTATCCCGCTGTTTACTTAAAAGTTAATACTCTAACATTTTGCAAACTGTGCAGTATAGATAGCGTATAAAGAGTTCCTAACGTGTGCCTGTGTGAATTATGTAATTTGCTTATCCATATAGTAGTGATCCCAAAGAATAATGAATAATTTATGATTTTTGCATGAAAATAAAAATAATCCAAATTTCTAGTTAGTAAATTTGTTCAATTTGACGTGCTCAATTTATTAATTTAATTATTTAAAAAGCTTCAAATGTTTTCAGCCTCCAGTTACAGCACCGGGAAACAATCCACGAAACCGCTACATATGGCTCCATACGGCCATATAGGGAGAGCCCCTTACTAGCCAGAGCCCGCCGGACGGAAAGCTTTCACAGCTACAGAGAAATTCAGCCTTTTAATTTAAGTAAAACCATGGTAGACAAAGCTGTTCCTCAGAATGGCAGCTGGAGTCCTGTACAGGCAGAAGGGAAAAGAAATGGTGAAAACATAGCTGACAAAAAAGCTTCAGCCTTAGCACTTGAGATAAGAATGGCCAGAGTGCCAGATGGAGGAACTGAACTTCAGAAAGGGTCTGAAAGCATATTAGAATTGAAAAAAAGAGGAAACGATGAAGACAATGAAACCAAAGTAGACTGCAAAAGGAAGAGTGGATTTGAAGGAGGTGGTTTCCTTGGAAGAAAGAAAGGACCACATCTTGTGGTGTCTTCACCAAACATTGTAGAAGGAAGTTCTGAGGTATTTGGTACAGCTTCCCCATCTCCTACAAAGACAACAGTTTCTCCACGGCATAAGAAAAGTGACTCATCTTGCCAGGATTATACCTTATGAAATTACCTTGTGAAAAGAAAAGACGTCTGTATCCCACATGTGTATCAAACATTTCTCACTAAACTGGACGAATTTCACATTTATGTATCTAAATTTGTATCTTTCTAATTGAAGATGAGTTTGAATTAGAATCAGACAGAATAAGGAAACACATTCTAGACAAACCAGCCTTCCAGTCCTGGTGTTTGCCTTGATAAGTTGGGCTTGAACTTCCATAATTCCATTGAGGCAGGCTGGCTTAATTATGGGGAATTGTGGGAGTTGAATCTAATTTCTCTGGAAAGTACCAGATGGAGAAAGCTGCTAAAAAAACCTGGCTTCACAGCACAATCAATGGAAGCATTTTTTAACTACTCAAGATTGGTGTTAACTTTCTGTAACTGTCTATGTGAAGTCCAGTTCTGGTACAGACGTTTTCAAGCTTTGTTTAATACAGGCTGGCATGCACTACCATTTTTGTTGTAAAGTAACTGTTTCCTAATCTTGGTTACAGATATGCTAAATATTTAAAGTTTATGGTCGGTCTATAGAGCAATTCATACTTTCAGTGTGGTTTCCATGTTGAAAATAATAATGGGAAGAATTAGGGTGTTTTATTTTATGTCTTACTTTTTCTGCTGTGCCACCAGTTTTTATTAGTATTAATAAACTTTGTATATCATCTCATGCTTCAATGTGTTGACTTAACCAAATTGAAATTCTAAGTGTCTTGTCACAGATATAAAACATTACTTTGCAGATATTTATCAAATATTAAAGTACAAAGAATGTAGTCATTCTGTACATTCCTTTTAATTACAATAACATCAGTGGATTAATTCTGGAAAGATAGACCACACCTTCCTATCAAGCCATTAGTAGTTGCTCTCATAAGTGGTTTCTTGCATTTTATGAAGCTCCATGTGCCAGCTTGTGGAGTCTGCTATTATGAGATGTCACACAAATTACTTCTACAAAATTTCTATGTGGTCTGGCCTAGTCAGCAATCGGTAAGAGAGAAAAAAACCCCAAAGCATGCTACCATCTTCCATAGGAAAGGAGAACTGGAGTCACTTTCTTAACAACATACATTGATCTTTACAATAATTAATTACAAGTTTGATTGCAAATTACCTAGTTATAGACAAAAAAATTCATAGAGAACTTCACTTATTATACCACTGTATAGAATTAAGCAATTCGTTTAGGTCTGCACAGTTGAAAAAAGCCGGAATTTGTAGATGTAAATAAGTTTCCCAATATTTCTAGGAGCAATATCTGTGCATGAAAGTATCTTTTAATCCTTTGGCAAAGGCACAAGCAGTCTTGAGATTTCTTCTTGCTTTTTCTTTGCCCTTCGGTCCAGTCAAATTACATTATCTTACACGTTTCCTAGAAACCCTTAATGATACAGCCTTGAATGTTATATGCTAAGGCTGGAAGAAAACCAGGATTCTACTGAGTCTCACAAATACAGTAAGGGCCTCCTTGTGATGTTTTATTGTATGCTTTCAGCAATCATAAGCATATTTTAGAGTAGATAATTATTTCCTTTCTTGCAATACGAAGAAGAGGGCAAGAATTGAAAGCTGATACCCCAAAGCCAGGCTTATACTCGGTCCTTCAATATTCTTTGTTGAATACTTAGATTTTGTATCAATGTAACACTACTAACATAGAATAAAATATACAAAACTATAAGCCTGCCCTGTTGTAAGATATAAATCTGATAATAAATCTGATAATACTGCAGAGACTATTCAGTTATATTTGAGTCCCCTGCCCGCTAAAATAAACCCTCAACATGTATAAACATGGCAACTTATCTTCCATAGAAAGTGTGATGTGTGCGTAGTGAGAGTTGCAGCTGCCACTTTGTCCAAATGACTTCACAATTAAGAATAAAAACCCATCACTTTAATGTGAATTATACAATGAATAGTAAGGATTTAAAATTTCCAGACATTTTAAATTTACTCTGTGTGACTGCTGTTGGTTATTCTTAAAATGAACACTTGTCATTTGAATTTTATATGTTCTGCCATACTGTTTACCATCTTGCTTGATTACACTTGGTTTACATCAAAACAGCTTCCATAATTTTTTTTGAAAATAGTTAAATAGTTGTTTGTTTGACAACGGAAAGAGAAAGCAGGACTGTTTAGTCAAAGGTAAGTGATTTTATGCTTCAGATACTGGATATGTTCCTAAAGGTGCAAGTTATTTTCTTATGAAACACAAAAAGTAAGGCTACTGTGCACTAATGTTTATTCACAGCCATGTGCTAACAATTCGGCTATCTTGTAAAACAAACAATACAATCAATATAAAGGAGACACAATGAAACAAATTAAAATCATTTTTTTAATTTGAGACTATCCTGCAGCTTGACAATATATTACACTTTTGATTGCTAAGGATCAGTTTTGATATGAACTTTTAAAAAATAATAATGCTGCACACGCTTGAAATTCTGTACAGATCAGAGGTGGTATTTAGCAGGTTCTGGCAGTTCTGGAGAACCGGTAGCGGAAATTTTGAGTAGTTCGGAGAACTGGCCAATCCCACCTCTGACTGGCCCCGCCCCCATCTATTCTCTGCCTCCCAAGTCCCAGCTGATTGGCTGGGTCTCTTTTTGTTGCCCTGCACAGGAGAAGAGCTGGAAAGCAGGTTAAGTGGGGTGGGGAAAGAATGGGGATTTTACAGTATCCTTCCCGTGCTACGCCCACCAAGCCATGCCCACCAAGCCGATACATGCCCACCAAGCCAGGCCGACAGAACTGGTAGTAAAAATTTTTGAATACCATCACTCGTACAGATAGTCCTCAACTTACGACCACAGTGGAGCCCAAAATGCATGTTGTTAAATGAGAATTTTGTTAAGTGAGTTTTGCCGCATTTTATGACCTTTCTTGCCACATTTGTTAAGTGAATCACTGCAGTTGTTAAATTAGTAACATAGTTGTTAAGTGAATCTGGCTTCCCCACGGACTTTGCTTGTCAGAAGGTTGCAAGAGGTGATCCTATTTCCCCAGGATGCTGCAATTGTCAAGTGTCTGAATGTTGATTAGGTGACTGTAGAGATGCTGCAGCAGTCGTAAATGTGTAAAAAATCCCTTTTTTCAGTGCCGTTGTAAGATTGAACTGCTATAAGTTGAGGACTACCTGTACTAACAGCCTGATAGGTATATCTTATGCTGCACAGGTGTGTCTCTGGTGCCCTTAGAACAGAAAGATCTAGTTATATTCTGAGCACTTGCAGAAATCTTATTCCTCACAACTCTGGTTTTTAAAGTTCGGAGTGCTGTTAATTCAAATTGGTCAGCCTTTTTTCTATCAGAGTACCAAAGCTTTACAATGGCTTTGTCTTCTGAAGTACATATTTGACACCACAGTGGCCTTCTGAACTTCCCGGGCTTGAAATGTTAATATCTTTTACCACAGAAGCAGAACTACATACGTGCCATGGCCTTAGTAGTTAGTATGGGACTAATAGGTATCTTTCCACTTATAGAAATGTCGTGATTTTTATTACAAAATGATAGCATTTGACATTGGATCATATATCAGAATTAGCAGAACAGTAAAGAATATCAGCTACAGCCAGCAGAAAAACATACTAATTACTGACAAAGTATTTTCCCACAAAACATATTTTATACTCTAAGCATGGAAAAGTCAAGATAGAACAGCTATACACTTACATTTTGATTACTTTCCCCTTATCTATAACTAATACATTTGAAAGATTTCACTGTATGGCCAAAGGAACAAATGCTATCATAATAAAGTATAAAGTATAATTAAGCAATTCTATGTACTCTTAAGTTGTTTTAACAAGATTGTTGATGGTCTTAATTCCTGATTAATTAAAGGTTTTCAGTAATTTTTGTGAAGAATTCAATATTGTTCCCTAATTTTCTGCCTTGATAAATTTGTGTGTATGGCTTTACTTTTTCCCCATTTTATCCAACCAGTTCCCTCAATGAGCTGTATAAAGTTTGTGTAGCACTATTTATTTGCCAAAAAATGCATTTAAAAAATTAATGATATGTACCTCTCAAATAAATACATTTGCTCTACATTTGTACTACTAGAAAAGAAGCTTCTAAGTTTTGATAAAAAGAAAATAGCTTTCACATATTTACAATACAAGATGTAATTCATAAACACTAGAAAAATTTCAGGAGAAGCATTACTTCATAATGACTACAAAGAGCAAATATTCAAGGCTTTTCACGTTATCTTTTCTATTATGTGGCAACAGTACTAAATAACTTACAAGTGTGTATCAGTAAATGTTGTATGTGGTTTGGTGACTGTACTGAAGCTTTTGATAGTGCTCACAAGATCTTCATAATCCGCACACTAAAATAAAGCAATTTTAAGAAGGTAAGAGTTACAAAATAAAGACATTGAGATCTCATTCAGGTTATTTTTAAAATCAAAAAGTTTTTATTGTTGGTTAAACCTATAATTTAATTAAGTAAAAGACCATCCTGACTGAGTGAAATTCACTGTTTGGCCCTCTATCAAAAATTTCAAAAAATATGCAAACCCTAAATGTAAGTATTTTTTTTTTCTTTTAATGACCCTGTAATCCCTTGCATGGAGTCGGGGAAACTGAATGGAGCTGAGTGTTTACTGGCTGGATGCCCTTCCTGTTGTCAATGCAGAGTTCGCAGCAGATATTTATTCATTGTGTCCAAACACAGAAATATCTGCCGCTACCTAGGATCGAACTCACAGCCTCCTGATTGTGAGGAGAGAGCGCGACCTCTAGGCCACTGCACCACTGACGAAGCTATGAACTCTTCAAATCAAAGATGGTTATTAAATTTGCATTTCCCAAATTTGGACTCTCTTTGTAGTTGCCATTTGGGACTTTACATCCCTGGCTAAGAAAACCACCGTATAGGATAGGGAATAATATTTATCACAAGGAAAGTTGTGGGTGAAGGCCCAAAGCCTAATAGGCTTTGCAGATAAAAAGTTAAAATTAAATGGACTTAACATATATGCTACTTAATTTTATATAATACTAGGATAACATTGCTTCACTCAAGAACATTTTATTTATTTAAAATATTTATATACCCATCTTAGAGCACAGCTCAACATGCATTGCTAAATGTGTATATGCTGCATATTAGTAGGAAAAGAGGCATTTTTCCACAGATTGATTTTCTAAGCCTATTATGGACTGCAGCTTGCTCAGTTTTGTGGTCACTGATTGTGCTTGCTTGCCTTACAGTAGTAAAGTTCTGGCAAGCACTGGATGACTTAGCACTTTCGCACAATTAATATTAATACCCACAAAGGCCATTGCTCTTGTTTTACCATTTGGTTACTCAGCATGATTGACCTTTGTTACAAAGGTCGTGTGATTATGGTATGTCAGGATTTGAAGCTAATCAGTTGTCTTTGTATATTGACTTACCAAATTGCTGTCATGGCCATGAATAATGGCATCCCAAACAGTATCTTGTACCGAGGACTTTTGCTCAGATGCTTCAATGAGCTGACTGACACTTCCATGCAGAGAATCTTGGGAAAACCTATCCTCTATCTGGCTTTGGCTTGGCCCCTGGAGGACGGAAACATTTGTACTGCTGTGCATACTCAAAGGCGATGCTGGTCCTGGAATTTTTGTATCTGACAGTCCCTAGGAATAGAAACAAACAAACAATTGGTTTTTTAACTTTTAGGAACCAAGGTATCCTCATATTGCATCTTCCCCTAAGAACTCTCCCGTATTGTAGATAAGGGTTGTCAAAAACTCAATTTTATTGAGGGGTGCATCAGGGTTGTGTTTGACCTTGAGGGCCGGGGTAGGCGTGGCCAGAGTAGGTGTGGCCAGCTTGACGTCACTCATGTTGGGGACGTCTGGTGGCCCGAGTGCTCTAATAGTGAAAATGGGGTCTTGAGCTCCGATTTCAGCCGAAATGGCCTGCCACCCTCTGCCAGTGAAAATGGAGCTCCGGGGGCTGTGTGCGGCCCTCCCAGGCTCTGTTTCCATCCATAAGCCCCCCGCCCCCGGAGCTCCGTTTTAGCTGGCAGAGGGTGGCAGGAGGTTGTCACGGCTGAAAATGGAGCCTGGGAGGGCTGCATGTGGACTCCCAAGCTCTTTTTTTATCTGGCAAAGACTGTGGGCTGGTCCTTTGCTGTTTCCAGGGCAGCCCTGAGAGCCAGATCTAAGCACCCCATGGGCCTTGAGTTTGACGCCCCTGTTGTAGACCATTCTTAATTGATGACAGTATAGGTAGGCTATATTCCAGCAGAATTTACAAATGCAATTATGTACATCAATGCTCCCTTCAGCTATTGTTCCCCAAGGGAACCGCAGTCTTCTGCAAGGTAGCTTCACAAGTTTGACTCAAGCATGCAAGATACACACAACACTGGCACAATTGCCAATCCAGTCTAAGGAGCCCCTCTTGGACTGCAACACCGACAGGTTTAACTATCTGCTCACAGATTACCAATGTGGTATCCCTCTTGTTATTAACACTAGGTCATGGCTTTCCTAAGTTGGGCACACAGCAGTTTTATGACTTGGCCAATCGAACATGCAGATACAGCAAACTCGGGCGGTAGAGGAGCAATGCCCATTGATCATGTAAATCTACAAGGAAGCCACTTTGGCTCAGAGAATGAAGTACAGGTAGTCTTTGACTTACAACAGTTCATTTAGTGACCAAAGTTATATCAGCACAGAAAAAAGATGTCACAGTTATGAGCTTTGCAGCATGCCCATGATCATAATTCAGATGCTTGGCAACTGGTTCCTATTTATGACCGTTGCTAGGTCTCTAGGTTACGTGTTCACCTTTTGCTACCTCTGATAAGCAAAGTCAATGGGGAAGCCAGATTCACTTAATAACCGTGCTAACTTATCAAGCGCAGTGATTCTCTCAATAACAAAAGCAGGAAAGGTTGTAAAATGGGGCAAAACTCACTTAACAAATGTCTCACTTAACAGCAGAAATTTTGGGCTCAATTATGGTCATAAGTAGAAGGCTACCTGTATGAGACACTTTCTACGTTAATCTTTTTTGAATTGCCATACATTTCATTGCCATACTAAGTAACTCGTCAGTACAGAGAAATGTTGGTTTGTCAGTTGACAGGAGTTGTTCGTACAGTTTTAAGTCAGTTACAGACAAGCTTGAATGGGAAAGAGATGGAGCAGAATATTCTGTAGTCAAAACCCAAGTTTCAGGTGCCTCTGGGAGATGAGTTGAGGATGCTTTGTGTAAAATTTGAATTAATAAGCTTTAATAACTGTTAGCTGTGGTTACTAGTTGTTCAACATTTACAAAAACTTTCCTGATTCCAATTGTAGCATATGCTGTGGTTGAGAAGGTCTTTGATTTTATGAATAGTATTAAAAAGACCCTCAGCTAAACAAGGGTAAGAAAGAGCTCTGCTAGATATTTTAATATACCGGCAGATGCTATATTCTATTCTAGATTGAATATGCCAAATATCTAATCAGGAATGAGGTATTCATAACTTTGCTGATGGCTTTATGCTGATTTAAGATATGAGAGCTTACTTTGTTTAGTGAAGCGGGCCCTGCTGTCTTGCTTGATAGTTGCAATCTCATTACAATATAACAAGGATTGTAAAATCTATTTATGATGCCACTAAGGTAGCTTTGCTAGGAGTGAACTGGGATAAGACAGTGATTATACTGGACAAAACTCAGATGCATCAATCCATATGTCTTCAAGTTGGTGCCCTCTAGATATGAACTTCTAACTCTCATAAACTTTGGCTAACATCAAGTCCAACACATTTGGATGACACTAGGCTGGGGAAGGCTCCACTGTTGACACTATCAGTATACCAGTATCAATTTCTAGAACTTTTTAAATACTATTTTATAATGTTTTGTCCAACTTTGTACTCACTTAACTGTCTTGCTTAGCAATGGAAATTTTGGACTCAACTGTGGTCATAGGCCGAGGACTACATGTATGTATACTTTACCTTTTCTTAAATTAGAAAAGTGCACGTCAAGATTCAGAAAAGGAGAATTAGGTTTTGGCTGTCAATTAGGAACGGTGAATTAGGCATTACCCAAACACATTCCTTAACCACTTCTTGCCATTTGACCATTTTAATTATGATACGGCAGGAGATACTCTGGATAAAAAAGATTGCAAGTTAAACTGTTGCCAAATGATATCCTCTTCACATCGGCTGTGATACACAGATACCAAGCTGATATTGCCTGGCTGCTCAATATATGATTTGTGCTTTAAAAGTTATATTACGAAAGCTGGCACATCAGCTTAATTTTCAGTGGTCAAAGGTAAGCGGACTTGATTGCTTTGCTCATTTATTACAGAACATAAAAACCAAAGACTCTTCATTTGCTCAGCTGCTTCCTCCCCCTGCAGTCAAAATTATACTCAAAATCATATCAACCTAATTTCAGGTCCAAAATGCCACCCAGCAACAAATGAAGCCCCACACAAGGTATGTTCATGCCAAAAGTTCAAGACTGTCAATGCTTGCAAACTTGTTCCACCCAATAGAGTTCACTACCTCCAAGTGCATTGTGTAGCTTTTGAGTGTGATGCTACAGGAGGACTCCGATGTATCGGCCACCCTCTCAAACTGAGATTTAAAAGGGAAAAAAGTGTTACTTGTTTAATCATTCAGGCGCTAAAACAAATTTTCTCTTGTAGGTTAGGCATCAACAATGGCTTATACTGAGTAATCCAGAAGGTCAGTGAGAAGGAGGCTCATAAAATTCCAATATCTTCACATAAAGTGATTTTGATCTGCAGTGTCTTATTGCCCCATTATGCAGTCTCCCCCCCCCCCTACCTATCCACCCCCCCCCAAAAAAAAAGACATAAAAAAAAGGAAAGCTGTTAGCAGTAAAGGCTTATGGTGACTGAAAGCCAATTTGTTGTTTTCACCGACAAATTTGCCTAGCATTTGTTTGGGACTGCAGTGGTCGTGTTCCGAATTCAACTGCAGTAATTGAGTTAGATGTAAAAGCAGCACTGACAATTATCAGCACTGTATGCTGGGTGACCTTGAAAAGGATAATAAAACTGAGCTACTTTTTCAATCTAATGGGGAGGGGGGCACAGAGAGCGAGAGAAAAAGAGTCTTCCTGGCAGTTGGAAAGGTATCTTTCTCAAATGTTTATGCAGAGATATGCATTGCAAAGGCTTACCTTATCGGAGCTCAGTGATACTTGTGAAGATGAGATAACAGGGACTTGTAAAGAAGTAGCAATAGGAAGCTGGTGTTGTGAATTATCAGGGAAAGAGGGAAACATCATAGGTACAGGAAAGAAAGGGGGGAAAGTGAAGGCAGGTAGAGAAAGTGTGAAGTTAGAAGGCAGAACAAGAAGAGCACTTCAGATCTTCTAAAGCAGAAGACAAAACAACCACCACCACCACCACACCAGGAAAGCTGAGTGAAACACTTTTGAAATATAAATGTTTCCCAATTGTTGACTGCCTTAGAGAAGAAATTAGATAGCAGATTATGCTGAAAGTATATAGCAATTTTTGGCAAATAGGTAGGCTTAGATGTACATCCACAAATGTCTATGTCTAGCATATGTCAGTGTATAGTGATGGCCACATGACCATGGAAATGTGTTTGGACAATGCTGGCTCCCTTGGCTAAGAAATTAAGATGAGCATCGCCTACTAGAATTGGACACAACTGGAAAGGGGAAACTTTAACTTATATACTAGAGTAGAGTAGCTAAGTTTTGGGGGGAAATGTAGCTGGAAGGGAACGCTAGTGGACGGATATAATAGAAATAGACATTTTGCACAAACCCAGGCCAAGAGAGTCTCTTCTGATATGGCCAAAACCTACTGGATAGCATCCTTACACACAGTTTAAAATGGAATTTTATCTTATACTGTCATTAGTGACAAATAGTAATTTGTTGCTGGTTTTTATAAAATTGGAGGAAGGAAGCACAATGACTGGGATTAAAACCATAGGTGTTTGAGACAACCTTCTGATTCTGTTCTTCCCCTGTATTATACACCAGCAAAAGTTAAATGTCCGAGTTAGAGAAATTTCTTCTTCGTGCTTGGTTAAAGTTTGTTAGAGCATTGCCAATCCAGCACAAAGAGATTTAAAAAGTAAAAAAACCCTTTGTGTTTAGTTGAGTATAGCTTTAAGAGTTCCAAAATAATCATGCCTGGAGAACTGAAATACTGAATTAGAAATAACCTGCTCTCATTATTACGCTCCCAAAAGCCCATTTTATCATCATCATCAAGAGTATCATCCAATTTCTTAAGGGTTAAAGTAGATATTTTATTTTTAATGGTGGTTGTACTTTTAATTCAACTTAAATTGTCCTTTTAGTAGCCTTAAATGCTTTTTTATGAAGAAAGGAGAGATAAAAATATTCAAATTAATAAACAAAAAGCATCCAAGTTTCTTCCTAAATTGTGTATTAATGTTCCTATCTCTTGAAGAGAACTTTGAAAATGAGCCAGGGCTGGATCTATAATGTGTCTGCCAATAAACACTTATCACTTGTTGAGCAAATACATTTTATGCCTGAGGAGGTAGAAGCTCTTTCACAGGAGATTGATTGTCATAATATCTTGATTGTCATAATATTTCTGTTTATAACTTTCTTGCTTAAAACCCTAATTTTCTTCACCTTGGCTATCATCCTTGAAAGTGGGAATAGAAGACTTGAGGAAAAACAAGCTCCAGCTTATGTCTGCCTCTATAAAAGGCACACATAAAAGGTAAAAAATTTATCCTTTTTAGATGTGTCCAACTCTAGGGGTTGATGCTCATCTCTGTTTCTTCGCTGAGTTTGCCAGCGTTGTCCATTTCCATCATCATATGGCCAGCATGACTATATACCAAGACACACAAAATGCTATTATCTTCCCAAACTCAATGTCTTTAATTGCTGAGCTGTCGCCCCCCCCCCCCCCCACTCCTTATGCCTCTTTACATTGGACATCTTATACCACTGTATGAAGATGTATTATTTATGTATTACTTGTGACTTTTTACATACCTTTCAAAACAAACTCTACAACATTTGTAGGGGGCGTGCATAAGCGCACCAACATGCCTACCGTCCTTGTCCTATTGTTTCTTTTATTTTTCTTATATTTATCCAGGTATTCATAACTGTGTTTTTACTTATACCTATTGTCTTGTAAGCAATTGACAAACCAAATAAAATAAATAAAATAAATAAATATCTGGTTTATATGTGACAATTATATGTGACAAGTCATAAAGTTAATAAGCAAAGAAGCCTGTTTCCAAAGTTCAGATTTTTTTTTCTTTAGAAACCTCAGTAAAACTGTTCAAAGAAATCTTAAATCAGCCTTTAAGATCACATCTGAGTCATCATTACTGAATATTACTGAAAGGAGCAAGTCCAAGCTGCTTGGGACTATTCTTGGAATGCAAGTATTTCCCTTTAAGACATCCATTTGGGCCCCAAACTTAGAAATGCTTCAGGAGTAAGTAGTTTTAACTGTCTACTGGCAAGCCCTAGATGTTTAAATAATAATGATCGACTTGCTAAACTCCTTAAAATGCTTTTAATATAGGCACAAGCTGTGAAAATGAATCATTTACCTGCACATTGCATTTCCTCACCTCACATTTTAAGGGAAACACATAATTAAGCTGTGCCTTCTGGTGCATTATGGCAAGAGAGAGGGCAACACAGATCATCTATTTCTGGCAGCATAATACTTTAAGCATGTGTTTTTAGCCTGCTCAGTTGCTGGAATAAAAAGACTTAAAAAGGTTTAACTTGGACAGCCTTATTCTTTCTTTGGTAAATACAGCACCTTTTTATTTCTGCTTTGCTGTGGAAGTGATATGTGGGAAATGATTCCACAGTCATAATGGGGTTTAAGAGCCACTGCTATATTAGTAGCAATAATTTGCCCTTAGTTGTTGTCTTTCAAAGGGTATTTTTGATGTCTTTCAAATATGGGTTTGATTTATACGGTGTTGGTTTTATATAACGTCTATGGGTGTATCTACGTTGGCCCACAAATCCTGCCTCAACTCTAGTACAGGGCACCTCTTCACAGGAAGTCCATTTGCAAAACATAGGCAGAGCACCATACCATGTGAGCTTCTCCTTGTGAATAGACATTCATTGGTGACATTCTCTTTTGAACTGAGACTAAAGGAGGCCTTTCCCGTGAATACAGCTGCTTGTTTATTTTTCTCTGTAGAATTAGAGACAGGAAAATTGCTAGAAGAATCAAGGCAAGGATCGCCATTAGTATCACAAACCACAACTCTGTGTAGAACATTGCTTGCTTTGTGTTGCCTTTGTTATTTTCTCCTGGAGTTGTCAAGACAGGACCTGTGGAATCCAGAAAAAGGATTGGTAGCAAGCAAGGGATGAATGGGGGAGGGGGAGGGAGAGAGAGAGAAAGAAAGAAAGAAAGAGAGAGAGAGAGAGAGAGAGAGAGAGAGAGA